AATAATAGGCCTATATCCTCGTGTCTTTATTTCCTAAATAAAATATATTACTGAATATCCTTGGCACGTTACAAAATAAATATTCGCCGATACGAGTCAGAGTGTGAAAAGACAAAATAAAATTCACCATCTAGTAAAAGTTGCAAGAAAAATGAACATGAATGCATTGCATACATTAAACAGCAAAGAGTATGGATGTAAAGCACCATTCGTCAGTTGCCGCTTTCTAATAATAATAATAAAGAAAAGGACTCAGTCAAGAAATATAAGGAACTTATGGTAACTATAAGCGAAATACAGATTTTCTAATATTTCTTATTGACAACTTATTAACACTTATACACTTACACATATAAGCAGCGATTTCGTACACAAATAAAAATAAAATTAAAAGTGCATTTGACGATGGTAAGCTGCGCTTGCAGAATTAATTAAATATGTGCTGAGTAACATATATTAGCGGAATATAACGTTAACATTCGTGAAATCTGTAGAAGTAAAATTCGGACGGAATCATACGTGATTGAAACATACGCGCGGATTACCAATTGCAATCAAGGTGAATAAAATCAATTTATCAATGAAAAACAACAATAGCGAAAAGTTGTTTGTAACGACACATACCTTACATCGGTGACTTAAATCGTACATGATCGAGAATTAAAATTAATAATTTTCACGTGTACAAACAACAATTCTTGAATCATAGGCAAATAAACGACTTTCGAGGTTTCCTAATAATACAAGCAATCATATAGTTTTGTAAAGAAAGAAATATATGATCGCTGTATTAAAACAATTGTAGAAGATTCACTCTAACACATGAATCATTCTTCATTTCTATTTAATTCTCTGAAAGATCTGCTATATGGCCAAAAATAGATACGCGTGATATAAAAACACTATTTTAAATTGTGCGCTTCGAATTGTTTCAATTAATCACGTTCTTATTCACATAATGTAACGTTTAAGCATAAGTTTTAAGTACTGGAAATTAATTAGGTATTTTATGCGTTAAATTTCAAAATTCGATTTAATTGAAAAAAAAAAAAAATAACGAGAATATTACACATTATTGCGTTTCCTGCAATGTAGTTTTCATACTTTTCATCTTATTGTATTAAAAACATTTTAAAATGGTAAAAAAAAAAATACCTTTGATATGGTGTCATCAAGAAATTTAATTGTGGTATCGTTAAAAAATTTAATTGTGTTATTTCCGCATTAACGTAAAAGCAATAATGACAGAGAAAAAGAAAATCTGCTTTTTAATTAATAATCGTGCAATGCATGAAACGTAATAATTGTGAATCAGAATTATTACTCAGTATCTTTGTAATACGATATTTAGGCAATTGTGTACCCACGGAGATAGGAGATGAAAAGACGCACGAATAAAAAAAAAAAAAAATGCAAAATCATATATCGATAAGCTGTAATCATAATTTGTTTTCAAAGGTATACGCGAAGGAATCGTGAAATTTGTTCTGTACTCGAACAAAACGTAGACTTATTTTTACAATTAAGTAATATTAATATTATTACTACTATGATTATTATTATTATTAGTTATTATTATTATTATTATTAATATTAATATTATTGATATTATTATAGAGACTCTGCGTAACTTGTTTGTTTTGTTAACTGCTATGCAGGTTTAGTCACGGTGATGACCACTTGATCTGTTCAGTAAGCTAGATAGCAGGATGATATAATTAATTGCGAATTAAATGATCGTGTTGAGAGATCGTAATGAAACGATACTTGTTCGCGCAGTAAACAATTTTACGGATTATCGTTATATTCCAAAACATTCGAAGTATGCAACGAAGGGCCCGGGGCTCCCGTTATATCCCTTTTTAATGTTCGTAAAATCCAATTACCAATGGGATCGATGAATATGAAATTACTGGAATACAGTAGAAATCATGAAGAGAATAACAATGAATCCCATTGATTGAAACTAACTAAAAATTGATGAATTTGTATCTGCTTGCTTGATGTGAGGAAGTGAGATGGAG